GGGAGGCCCCAGCCGCAGGAGCATGCATCACACTTTTATTAAGCAAGAAGGCGGACAGCATCCCTTCTTCACTCGCCATAGACGGCGTCGTCGTTGCTGTCGCTGTAGGCGGAGGAAGAGAGCTCCTCGCGGGGCGTGCACGCCGGGCACTGCCGTTGCATGTCGTCCCAGCACGAACGGCAGTACACAGCCTGGCAGTCCGGCGTGGGGCACACGTAGGACTCGGGCGTCTCCGGGGCCTGGCACACTACGCAGCGCCGACGTATCAAGCGGCGCAGAAGAGGGCACAGGCGGTACAGAGTGTCCACCAGGTGGGGGCGCTGTTTGGGGAGAGGTGGGTTGAGCGGGAAGGGTTGTCAGGAGCACTGGGCAGCTCTTAATGTCTCGAGTCCCAAGGCCTGACAGTGGTTTGTTGGAGGAAGCTGGGGTGGACCAGAAGACAGCAAGGGGGCTTTGAAAGTGAGTCGTCCCCCCCCCCCCAGACAGGGTTTCTCTGTGTCTTTGGAGTCTGTCCTGGAAACTCGCTCTTTAGACCAGGCTGGCCTCGAACTCACAGAGATCCTCCTGCCTCTGCCTTCCCGAGTGCTGGGGTCAAAGTCACTCGCCACCATTGCCGAGTGCAAGTGAGTCTTAAGAGCCTCCTTTTCCCACATGATGGAAGGCGGAAACTCCCGGAGGATAACCCTCAACGCCTATCGTGTGCCCCTGCAGAGCAGCTTAATTTGATTGTTACAGTGGCAATCATTTACGCCTTCCAGGAAGGCTGGAGAGATGGCTCAGTGGTTCAGAACCCTGACCTCTCTTCCAGAGGGCCCAGGTTTGAGTCCCAGCACCCACACAGTAGCTAATAATTGTCTGTAACTCGAGTCCCAAGGGGTATGATGATCTCCTGGGCCACTCACGAGGTACACAGACATACGTGTGGGCAAAACACCCATCTGCAATAAGTAAATGAAAGTTTTTAAATCTTAAAAAAAAATCTTAAGAGGCCAGGCGTTGGTGGTGCACGCCTTCAACCCCAGCACTCGGGAGGCAGAGGCAGGCAGATCTCTGTGAGTTCGAGGCCAGCCTGGTCTCCAGAGCGAGTGCCAAGATAGTTTCCAAAGCTACACAAAGAAACCCTGTCTCAAAAAAACAAAAACAAACAAACAAAAAATCTTAGAAAGATGGTGTAACTTTCATAGTCACATCTCAGTCAAACCTGCAAATCACAAACTTTGCAATCACTAGGTTCACTATCCCATTTTCCAAATACCCTCTTCTTATGACTGCCAGGAATCCTTCATTGATCATTGCTTAAGAAATCCCAGGGGAGGCAGAGGCAGGTGGATCTCTTGGAGTTCAAGGCCAGCCTGGTCTACAGAGTGAGTTCCAGAATGGCCAAGGCTACACAGAGAAACCCTGTCTCAAAAAAAAAAAAAAAATTCCAGGGCCCCACTCCTTGTCAGATAAAAGCAGATCTGGGCTTGGTCTTCAGAGCCCTCCAAGAGCTGTTTCTTTGTAGCCTTGCTATGCCTCCCCTGTCCTGCTGTGTGTGTGTGGGGGGGGGCTTTTCCTTAGTTAGCCTTTGGTCTTGGCATTCCCTTTGGTCTCTGAGTTTTTCCACAGCCTGTTCCTTTAGCTTAGAATACATAACACTCTAACTTCATCTAGCTATTCAGGCTCAGTTTACTTCACAAAAAAGGTCAAGGGATCCCAGCTAGTTGATGCCATGTTTATGTGTGTCATGAGGCATGTGTGGCAGTCAGAGGACAACTTGTGGGAGTCCTTTCCTTCTACCATGTCTGTGGGGTTGATCTCAGAACATCAGATTTGGTGGCAGGTAGGCAGGTACCTTTACCCACTTAGCTATCTTACTAAACCCATTGTTCTGCTGATGGTGTTGGTGCCTATAAAAAGAGACTACAGCAAAGTAAATCACTAACCCAGTGATAGAGCTCATGATTTCTGTTCCATCCCCAGCACCCTCTGTGTGTGTGTGTGTGTGTGTGTGTGTGTGTGTGTGTGTGCGCGTGTGCGCGCGCGCGCGCGCGCGCGTGCCTGCGCACGTGCACCAATACCTATGTGTGCATGTTCATTTACTGTTACTTTGTTGTTTTGTTTTTCAAGATACAGTTTCTCTGTGTAGCCCTGGTGGTTCTGGAACTTGCTCTGTAGACCAAGCTGGCCTTGAACTCAGAGATCAACCTGCCTCTGCCTCCTGAATGCTGGGATTAAAAGTGTGTGCTACCATCACCCAACTGTGTTTACTGTACTATTTACCATCTCTCCATCAGCTGAGAGGACTGATGAAAAAAAGTTATTTGCTCCAGGTATACAGTGAAGTACAGTGGCAACTAACACACATATAGAATGTTCTCTCTCATACCAGCGTCAAGGAAGTAAAACAGTCATCACAGCGACCGAACAAATAAGTAGTTAACACCATCTTACAGAAAGGAGAAAGTAAGGTACTCAAGGTCACACAACAGTCAGAGGATGGCAGAGATGGAGTTGGATTTAAACCAAGGCTTCTTTGCCCCCCAATTCCCCTTCTTACAACTCTGAAGAATGGCCTCACAGCTCTGTCTAAATAACCCATTCTTCCAAGCAAGAAACAGACACAGCTTGTGGAGGTTCTGACTCGGTGTCTTCAGAGATCGCATGCTCCTTCACCAAGCCCTCCTAATGCCCCGACCACCTGCCTCCTCTCCCTCTCCCTTTTCCGGAACCGGAACGGCCTTGGGCTTGTCAGCGGCTTCTTTCTGATCAGTATTGCTTTCCTCCAAACAGACCATTCGATTGACTTCCCCTTTCTGCCACTCCCTAAAGGGCCACTACAAGTCTCAAGCTGTGCTGAGTCCTGAGGTTTAGAGACAGACACAGTCCTGACCTCCAGAAGGAACTGGAACCCGCATCCTGCCAGACCCACTCAGCTGCAACAGGCCTGGGACCCTGAGGGTGCTGAGTGGACTGGAAAGGGATGCTGGGGACTGCACTTACCGGAGCCCTCTGCTGACGTGCCCGACGAACAATGGTAGCCCTTCTCAGCTTAGTGAAAGCTGCTCTCTTCCTCAGTAACTCATTGTAGAGGAACAGAACCCGCTTCTTCTCTCGCTGAGGGGTTGGGTGGGGAGCAAGAGGAACTCAGCGATAGTGACAGAGCAGGAGAGGGACACAGGGCTGGCAGGAAGCTGTGTGCACATTCAGGGTGGAGCTGTCTGAGAGCTCACCTTGGGGAAGTAGAAGGCTGCAATGACTCTCCGGAGCCTGTAGCCGAAGGCTTGGGCTAGGCAGAGACACACAAGCAGGATGGTTGGCAGTGAAGCACTCCAGTAGGCCCTGGCATCCATGCCTACGGGTTGAGGCAGGCAAGCTGGGGGAAGAGGCAGGTGGTCAGCAATCTGGTCAGGGCCAGCTGAGGGACAGGCCAGCACTGAGTTGATCCCTGCACCCCAGCCCTCCAGGAGCTGTTTCTTTGTAGCCTTGCTATGCCTCCCCCGTCCTGCTGTGTGTGTGGGGGGGGGGCTTTTTCTTAGTTAGCCTTTGGTCTTGGCATTCCCTTTGGTCTCTGAGTTTTTCCACAGCCTGTTCCTTTAGCTTGGAATACGTATCCCTCTGACTTCATCTAGCTATTCAGGCTCAGTTTACTTCACAAAAAAGGTCAAGGGATCCCAGCTAGTTGATGCAGAAGGTGCAGGATGGGCCTCCAGTTTGACACACACACACACACACACACACACACACACACACACACACACACACGCCCTCCTACTCTTCTCCATCTTGCATAGCTTCTCTTTTAATATCACAGCTACTTACTATCTGCCCTCACCCCACCTCCTCTGAAGGCTGCTTAATCTCAATTTCATTATGGCAGAAAGGTCTGTTGGACAAGGAGGCAGGGCCTCAAAATGCTGGCAACCCGTTTTCTCTGAGCCAAGCTCTTCAGGGCTGTGACGTCTCCAGTTTGAGCATACCAAACCTCTCCCCTTCCAAAGCCATCTTCAGCTCTACCCTCTTGTCTTCTGATTGCGCCATTCCCCCCCGCCCAACCTAGATCCCACAGACTCAGCTTCCGAATCACTCACGCATGTTGTCTGATTCCACTCCTGTATCTGAGGAGGTGTTCAGAGCTCCAATGGTTTTTCGTAGAAGCCTGGCCAGCATGGAGTCTCCCTCAACCTTCACCTCCAGTTTGTGACTGCCTGGCCAGAGTGGAGAGAGAGGCTTCAGATAAAGGCTGGAATTAAGGGACTGAGGTTGGACTTGGGAGGAGGAGGGAAAAGGAACGAGGAGGTAGAGGAGATGTTATGCAGGAGGGGACTGTCACTTGGGCCACGGCCTGGGCCCAGGCTCACTGCGGAAGGAGTACTGCAGGAAAGAGTGCCGGCGGATGGTGTCAAAGACAGAGTAGAGTGCCCAGTCGAGCCCGCACAGCACCAGCAGCAGGAGCAGGATAGGCAGTGTCTCTAGGAGTTCCCTTGCCTGCGGGGAGCCCAGGTAGGTAGGTAGGGTTGAGTGCCCCCGCCCTGGCTTGTGGCTTCGAGTGTTCTCTGCCCTTTGCGCCTCGACCCTTAGAGTCCCACCTGCAAGTGGCCGCCCATCCCCAGACCTACAACTCCCTGGTCCAGTCTCACCAGATTGCTCATCTCTGAGGCCTGGATAGAGGGCTTGAAGGGGAAGATAACGGATTTCTTTTCTGCCTTTCGGAGTGGCAACAGACTCGATTTGCCCTGAAAAAGAAAACAAACAAACAAACAAACAAAAAACAGGGACTGCAGGGGTGGCTCAGCTTAAGCGTGCTTGCTGCTCTTTGAGAGGTCATGTTCAGTACCCAGCACTCACGTCAGGTGGCTCACAACTGCCTGGAACTCCAGATACAGGAAATATAGCACCCACTGCTGGCCTCTGAGGGCACTCCATATATGCATATGGCACACATACAGACAAGCAGGCATGTACACATAAAAAAAACATGCCTCTATAGGTAAAAACCCTAAGGGCCTTCGCTCTCCTGGGGGAGGCAATACAGGGGACGTTAAGGTATCCTCTGGTGAGGCCGAGTTCCCTCACCAGCTGCTTCCTGCGCTCATCGATCTGGTAGAAGTAGGTGGTTATGTAGATGTTGTCAAAGCGGATGTCCCAATTATAGCTGTCCATGTAGGAGAAGGACCTATGGAAGACAGGTAGGGGTGTCTCCCATACACCCAACCATGGGCTTCTTAGAGACCTAGTCACTCGTCAGATCAACTGGCAGTCCCTGAGCACCCCATGTGGAAAGCCAGGGCCAGGTGACCTGGTGTGAAGGAAGCTGGCTCCACCCTGTCTTCTGGTTTTACAGTAGAGGATGTCCACCTGTGGGACTGTGGGGACCCAACAGAGGAGGGAGGCGCAGTCTGTGAGTTAGGGCACATGTTTATCTTGCAGGGCGAAAGAAGCAGATCCACAGAAGCAGAAAACCCTCCGGACTGCAAGAATCCCTCAGTACCACGGCTCCCATATTCACCTTTATTTTCTATCCTTGAGACAAGGTCTCACAATGTAGACCAGGCTGGCCTGGGATTCAGAGATCTGCCTGCCTCTGCCTCCTGAGTGCTGGCATTAAAGGTGTGCGCCATCATGCCTTTCAGCTTTGCCTGCTGAACTCCTCAAACAAAACTCCTATCCAGACGTCGCCTGTCTTTCCAGCCCTTTCTGACTCGCCCTGAGCTTTAAGTGTGTACAGACATAGGTGTTCTCTGTGTAACTCCCAAAGTCCCATTTAATGCTTGTTTCTTAAGGAAAAATTCTAATTGTGAAAACACATTAAATTTGCAGAAATATGTTAAACTGTAAAATATGAAACATAAATCCCACTTTTAAAGAACAATGCCACTGAGGGCTTCAAAGAAATGCAAAGATAGACTGGGGCACCCCCTTGTGGACAGACCTATCACTGCAATATTGGGTTTCCCAGGCTGGGGACAACCCTTCCCCCCAGCTCTGTCCTGTTCCTGAGTGATCTCACCCAGGTTGAAAGCCTGGCAGTGACTTTAGACTCTAAGCTTCCTCCCTTCCCGCCCCAAGCTTGACTTTGAGAACTTCTGTGCCTTTCCACTTCCTTCCATTTTAGGCCATCTTCCTGCCCTGTCTCAATCTCCTCCGACCTAGCCTGGCCTCCACCCTCATCCATCTTGTGGCCACCTCCCTACCTCCCACTCCATTCAGGGCCTTCCTGTAGGGGCTTTCCAGACTCTCCTAGCCAAGCTGTCCTCAGCTCAGGCCCCCACCCCAGTCACTGCCCCCATAAACTGTGCCGATGCCCACGTACGTCTGCTCAAGACACTACCCTACCTTCCCTTGACCACAGATCCCACGTGCAGCCTCTGGAGCCCAGATATGACCACCCCTGTGTCACCTCCTTCGCTCCCCACAGAGTCTGAAGCATTGCCCTTGAGCCATCTGTGTCTCGAGGGTGTCTCTCCCACCACCTCAACTAGACCAGCAATGTCTCCAGGGTAGCAATATGGCTTGTTCATCTTTGTCCTTCCATAGGGCCCTGGGTATGCATATAATCATTTACCTGGGGCCACTCTAGCCTGAAGAACAGGGACAGACAGCAAGGGCCCCTATGACTACCATCACCCAGCTCCTGCCCAGTCCAGACACTTGAGGGTGGGGAAAAGGAGAAGTCCAGAAGTCAGTGAGGAAGCCAGGGCAGCCTAGGTAGACACTGGGCTGGGTAGGGTTAAGGACTTTGTTCTAAACTGAAGGAAAGGAGCTGCCAACACAGCAGGCAGGAGAGAATGAAAGCAAAACTGGATGATAAAAAAAACGGCACAAAGTCAGAGCCAAGGGGAACATGAAGGGCAAGGGAAAAAAGTCCACAGTGAAAGCTAAGTGTGTGTGTGTGTGTGCGGGGGGGGGGGGGGGGGGGGGGGGGGGGGGGTAGATGCCAGGAGGAGGCAGATAATGAAGACAGTCACTTTTTTAAAGACAGTAGCAACATGGGTAACAGCATCCCTTAAAATATCTCCATGCCCATTACTGTAAACAAACAAACAAACAAAAACAGGCAAATAAGAATTAGATTCCCAATTAGGGGTTCAGCTCTGCATCTCTTCTCCCAGGGTCCCCATCCGGGGTGGAGGAAGGGACAACAGGTGGGGATTGTGGCTCACGCTTGGAAGACCAGCAGGAAGGTGCAGGACAGGAGCACATGCAGCAGCCCCGCTGCCCATTGCAGGTGAGCTTCCTGCTGTTGCACGAAGTCCCGCACCTCGACGCTTATGTGCTCCCAGCTTATGTCGGCACCCAGCACTGCAGACTGCCTCTCTTCCTGGGAAGGGGACACGTGCAGAGACAGCCTGCTGCACCACCTCTCAGTGGCACATTTCCCCTTAAGCCCCTGCTCCTCCCAGGACCTCTAGGAGGGGTCACTTCACCTGCTCACCAGTCTCTGGGATGAGCCCGGCTTTCCTGCACCCACCTTAGCTGACACCGTCTTGTGCCTGACTGACCATTCCATCCCCAAGCTGGATACATACCTTCCACAGGCTGGCATGATCTCCCCAGCACTGGCTCTCTCCCGCCCCTCCTCCACACTCAGACACCTCTTCCCCGGGCCTCTCACATGTCCATCCTGCCGCCTTCCTTCCTCCCCTCCTGCTCCCTATCTGCTCTTCTCCCTCTCCCATGCCTCTGCCTCCTACCTTAATGTCAATATGGGCTGAAAATTCTCCAGACAGACGATGAATAGACTGGTTGAGAGAGTCATAGGTTTGCCCAAAGTTGCCTTCCACTGGGATTCGCTTTTGACACCAAATATCCATCACTGGTGGACAGTGGGGCCAAGTCAGGGCCTCACTGGGCCGGAGGCCAATATTCTCCCACCCAGCAACAAGGCCTGATGCTTTGTTGTTGCTTTGATCAGTTGTTGATGATGTTGTTGTTGTTATTGTTGCTGTTGTTGTTGTTGTTCTTCTTCTTCTTCTTCTTCTTCTTCTTCTTCTTCTTCTTCTTCTTCTTCTTCTTCTTCTTCTTCTTCTTTTTTTTTTTTTTTTTTTTGAGACAGGGTTTCTCTGTGTAGCCCTGGCTGTTCTGGAACTAGCTCTGGAGACCAGGCTGGCCTCGAACTCACAGAGATCCGTCTGCCTCTGCTTCCCAGGTGCTAAGATAAACTGCCTGGTGCTTCACTCCCATTTTTGCATCTGTCTCTAACCACACCAAATACTAATAATGGCATCTAACATTTCTAGAGCAGTTCCTCTGGGTACCACTTCTGTTAGCACTTGGCATGCATTAGCCGGTTAAATTTCAAAACCCTTACGGGGATGAGAACTATTATTATATCAGTCTTTCCAACAGAGAGGCTGAAAGTCATGTCCACTGCAAGAACCCATGTACCCACAGAGCCCACATCCCCTATACCTGCCGACCCTCCAGCCTTGGACCCCCTCACCATCCTGCCACTAACCCTTGGCAATGTTACAGAAGAACTTGAACGTCATTGGCAGGCAAAGCAGGTGGTTCAGGAGTGGGACCTGGAGGCGTTGCATGCACTGTTGATGCTTTTTTTCGAACCAGCGACGGCAGGTGATTATGGCCTTATTTACCACATCTGTAGCAAAGAGACAGAGGTGTCTGGGGTTCCCGGCCCTGGCCTGGAGCTTGGCCCCGAAGTCCGCCCCACCCTGCCCTGCTCAGGAACAGTCCTCACAGGAGCAGCGCAGCTTGGTCTTCAGCTCATACATCTTCTGTGTGGACAGGCGGAGTCTGCCTCGGGCGGCTTTGTGGGCCTCTGTGCCCCGAGTGTCTGTGGCATCCTTAGGTAAGTAGCCAATCTCACTCCTCACCTGAGCATCCAGGTCCTCAAAGGAGGAAGAGATGTTCCAAGTCTCTGCTTTTAGTGATTCTTTGCTGCCCTGGGGTTAGAAAGGCAGGAAGAAGCAGGGGAGGGCTTTACAGACTGTGGCTTCCCAGTGTGTCTTCTAGCAATGCCATGCTTAGGGCTCTGACTTTGGCCCACAGGGATCTAGGCCTGAGACAAAACCTCCCTGCAGGTCCCCTTGGCAGCCTTGCCTCCCTTGGGGCTCTTCTTATTCCCAGACCTTCAACTTTCCCTTGGACCTCCCTTCGTCCATCCTTATTGCTCAGTGGTGCCCATAATTTTGAACTTTAGCCCTTCAGTCCTAACCTCCCATACCCCTGTGGCCTTCCCTCTCCCAGTCCTCTCCCCTCCAACATCCCAACCGCCTAGCTGCTAGCTCCTGAATTTCCCATTCTCTGATCCTCTGGTCTTCAGAGGCCAATGTCCCCAGTTTCCCTACATTCTAATTCAGCTGCCCACGCAGGTATCTGGAGGCGTGATGTATGTATGTCCCAATGGTAGGATGTTCTCCTGGCTTTTAGCACCCCAAGATCAGCAAGGGCTCTGTGATGTTTGGGGATAGCGATTCAAAATATACTAGGAACATCTCCACTAGGAGACCATAGATCCAAGGTCATGTTCCTAGGTCAACCTGGGGACAGGGACTGTACAGGCTTCTGACCAGCAGGTCCTTGAACACGGCCCGCAAAGGGGCTGTGGAGACGCGCCAGGCTGCTCGGGCATTGTTGATTTGCAGCTCCACGGTGCAGCCCAGGGATGCTATGACTTCATTGATGTTGTACTTCAGGTTGGCTGCTGGCCCTAGCAGAAGAGATCCAGTAGGTCACCTCTCTGCTGAATCAGTCCCTTCTTAGAGATACCCCTGGCACCTTCTCTGCATGTAGACCATCTGCAAGCCCATAGGCCACTTTCTAGGACTGTGTCATGATGGGCCTTGAACGAGTCTATGAGAGATCTCGTTCAACCTTGTCTTTTCAGCCCCATAAACTAAGGAGGCCCAGAAGTGGGAAGGCACTCTCAGGGAAATGCAGCAAGTCAGAACAGTAAGACATGACACCCTACCACCACCACAACCACCACCACAGCCACCACCACAGCCACCAAAGCCACCACAGCCACCACAGCCACCACAGCCACCACCACCACCACCACACACTCCCCTCTTTCAACATGGTCCCCACTAGATGATCTGCCCAGGGTCACTGCTTTGGTGTCACCAACTGGTACTCTGGGACAGCCACTTCTCACCTTTGTAGATGGCAGCCAAAGCATATCCCAGGACAAAGAGTCTGCCTTCTTTGCCCAGCATCTTGGGTACCAACAGGACACTGGCACAGCGAGTATGAGGGGAGGTCCCCCAGCCTATGGCCCCCAAGCCTATTGGGAAATCCAGAAGATGGGGTGATGAAGTAAGGAAGCAGCCTCGCATTGACTAGACCCTCTCCTGGATCTACCCTGCCCTCACCCCCATTTACACCTGCTTTGATACACTTCTCAGGCTTCCTTCCTTCCTTCCTTCCTTCCTTCCTTCCTTCCTTCCTCTCTACCAGCCATCTATAGAGTGTACCTGTATATCTGTTTCTGGAAGGTCCGGGGGAGATGGTTAGGGATAGAAAAGTCATGGTCACAAAAGTGCATGTGGGTGTCAGAGGCCCACACTTTCCACACCCAGGCCGGATACACGTTTATGTTAGGCAATGCAGGAGCAGAGCAGGCAAAGGAGACACTGAGGAAATGGGCGCTGGTGCCCAAGGTGGCCAGAGGAGCAGCTCGAGCCCACCTGGACAGTCCAGTGCACTGGCGCACACAGCACCCACATCCCCACCCTTCCCATGCAGGAGCTCTTAATCATGTGTGGTTGGCAGGTTACAGCAGTCACAGTTGCACATGTGGTGTCTTCAAGGAGACAGTGAGCTGGTGAAGCTCATAACCCAGAGAGAAAGACAGACAAGTAAACAAATGACTCCCATGGGACAGACGTGCTCAGTGCACCAGGGAGGGGCTTATGGAGAGAGTTGTGGAGCCAAGGAGGGTGTGGGTATTTCTGCAGGGAGGGGTGGGGCTGGGAAGGCTGGACAAAGGAGATGATGTGTCAGCTGGGCCTGGGAGATGAGTAACTGTTGTTAGAGGCACAGATGGCAGCCCGGGACAAAGGAACAGCATGAGCTAGTCAGGGAACAAGAAGATCCCCGTGTAGATGGAGTCTTTGCCCAGTGATGGCCACAGCAAACCCCAAGTACTTATACTCCCACCATTCCCACTGTCCTCCTGCAGTCCCCATCATCACTCACTGGGGAGTGATGATGCAACGCTTGTAGCTTGCTGCAACGCTAGGGTACAAGCTTGCACATGCGCAGTCAGTGTTCTACCATTGCTCTACCCCTAGCTCCTGGCCTGAAACTTCCTATATTTTTTATTTTGTGTGTAGGACTGTTTTTGCCTGTATATATACACCATGTACATGCCTAACCCATGTTGGATCCCTGGAATTAGAGTTATAGACAGTTGTGAGCTGCTCAGTGTGGGTGCTGGGAATTGAACCCGGGCCCTCTGGAAGAACAGCCAGTGCTTAACCTCTGAGCCATTTCTCCAGCCCCATGGACTGAAATTTTCCAACCTGTCTTCATTCCTTTCTCTCCCTACCTTCCATGTCAGTGGCCAAAATGATCTTATCAAAGCATAAGCAGTTTGTGGCCCTTCCCTCCTTCAATTCTCTGTCTTTTTACTACACTTGGCAGATAGATTACTTTGACATGCTTGTTAGACCCTAGTGATCAGCTCCTCCAACCTTCTGGGCGATCCCATGCCACTGAGTCTTTTGCCCATAAATCCACAGGGTCCTGGCTGCTGCCTGCTTCTCCCCAGGACTTCAAGTGGTTGCTGCCCTCTGCCCTGCCAGCTGCTCTCCTCCCCCATGGCTCCACCTAGACATACAGGTTTGTGGCAGACCCTGGATGCCAACCAACAGTTTGGATTTTTTTTTTTTCCTGCCTTCTCACTTGTTAACACAACTTGGATTTTATTCAAGGACAATAGCCTGGTTCTGCCCTGGCCCCTGGGGGTTGAGTCTGGGTTTGCCTAAACCAATCTATGAGTTACAGGGCAGTGAAAGAGACTTGTTCTGTAGTCTCCGATTAGACTCCAGCTGCGACAACAGCTGACAGAGCTCTTCTCTATGTCCTAGTAGCTCTTTCAGCTTCTCAATAAGGGCAGAACTAGTCTTGCACTCCTCTACCTGACCCAGTTTATAGAAGGAGAACAGGGCTGGGCTATCACTAAGTAGGTAAATAATTCTAAAAAGAGGGTCGGGGTCCAGTGTCACATGCCTCTAACCCCAGCTACTCAGGAGGCTGAGGCAGGAGGATGGAAAAGTGTAAGGCCTCCCTGCTCTATGTTCACAGTCAGTCTGACCATGAGACTGTTTCAACAAGTCAGAAGGACTGGGGGTGCAGCCCAGTTGACAAGAGTGCTTGCCTGGCATGCATGATGCCCTGGGTTTGATCCCCAGCACCCAAAGAACAAGGTGTCCTGGTGGCATATACCCTCAATCCTAGCACACAGAGGTGGAGGCAGAAGAAGCAAAAGTTCAAAGCCATCCTTAGCTACATGTCAGGTTTGAGGCCAGGCTGGAATATATGAGACCCTGTCCAAAAAATAAAGAGAAAGACAGAAAGAGAGAAGGAAATGAAAGGCTGAGTATGATGGTACACACCTTTAACACTAGAACGTGGGAGTCAGGCGGATCTCTGTGAGTTCAAGGCCACCCTGGTCTACATAGTTCCAGGACAGCCAGAGCTACAAGAGCAGCCAGTCAATCAATGAAAATAAACTGAAAATGTTAGTGTTCTGGAAGTGAAGGGTAGCATTTAGTGTAGGCAGTTCAAGACCCTCTAGGGACTATCACAGGAAGGGACTCTGCCTTGTCCCTCGTGGGCTGGGCTCCTGCAGAATGGTAGCAGCTGGCCAGGCTGCTCCAGGCCCTGCCCTCTGCAGATCCCAGAGTGTGGAACTGCTGTCTTTAGGCAGGAGGGAGGGCAACTACAAGGTACATAGCAATTCCTAAAGACAGCAGGCCTGGAGTTCTCCATCCACAAGCAGCCTGTCTGTGGCTGGCTCACAGAAGCTGAGAGGCTCCATTTGAGACCAGCCAAAAGAATCTGCCAAAGTTCATACCACGAGGAACCCCAGAGCCCATCACCGAGCCTGTCACACTGAGGGCACCTGGTGAGTTATAACAGCATTCATCACTTAAGACTTTGTCCTTCTCCCTGTCATTAAAAAAAAAATAATAAAGATTTTGTACCTTTCCCTCTAATTCTTCCTCTCTCTGACATCAGAAGAAACAGAAAGGAGGCCAGGTATGGTGGTGCACACCTGTCACTCCAGCCCTTGAGAAGTGGCGACAGGAGGATCAGGAGTTCAAGCCTCGCCTGGGCTACCCAAAGCCTTTTCTAGGTAGAGGAGGGTGCAGGATGGTGTGGTGAGAGGAGTGGGGGCTGGGGGAAGGGGCCTGGCATGGTGGAATGTCTCCTGAGAGGTTGCCCCAGCTCCTGCAAATAACTTCCTACTCATGCAATTCTAATTAAACACAGTAAGTCACATACAAAAGGAAGCCATGAAAGGAGGGGGAGGGGCCTTATTGGGTAGAAAGGTTTCAGGAGGAGGGCTGGGTGGGAGAAGTAAGGGGGTTCAAGATGACAAAATGGCTAATATTCATTATATGTGTATATGAAACTGTCAAGAGAATGTTTTAAAATGAGGCAGCAGCAGCAACAGAAACCAAAGAGTGGGGAGAAGTGAGTCCAGGACCTGGGGCTAAGGGGCTGGCTGGGGGTGGATTGGAGCAGCAAGAAGAGGTGACATTTAAGAAGTGTGGGACCTGAAGTCCAGATGTAGAGTAGACAGGACCCTTTAACCTCTCAAAATAAGTCCTAACTCGTCGTCACGCCTGGGGCTTCCGACTTGTCTGAGTGAAAGGTCATCTACAGAACATACGTGAATACAGCGGTCAGAGAGGGGACAGTTTACTGTGGTCTTGGCCTTATGGTTAAAGACTCTAGTTTATGTGTTCAATAAGCCAGTGACATTCATTCCGTTGCCCTGGGCTGGGACGGGGTTAGAGAAGGGCATCAGTTTCTGTACTGACCAAAGAGCTGTGAAAAGCCTGCTGGAGTGGGGCAGGGGGACGAAATGCTCCTTCCCTAGTTTTCGAGATTACCGGATAGAGGTGTGATGCCCGGGGTCAGGGTGGGGACTCTGTAACAGAAAAACCTCTAGGCAACTGGACAGTGGCAGTGCACTCCTGTAATGCCAGCACTCAGGAGGCTGTGGATCTGAGTGTGAGGCCAGCATGGTCTATAGAGTTTCAGGACAGTCAAGGCTACACAGAGAAACGGTCTCAAAAACAAAACAAAACAAAACAAAACAACAACAAAAAAGCCTAACAATAACAACAACAAAAAGCTTCTAGCCAAAGACAGTGAAAAGACTGAAGGACTCTGGTTGGTGTTTTATTTTGTTGGAAATAAAGTCTTTTTTTAAAAAATCTTTTAAATAAAAATTTTTTTAAAAAATTATTTTTAAAAAATTGGTTACTGGTGGTGGTGGTGCATGCCTTTAGTTCCAGCAGCACTCAGGAGGCAGAGGCAGGCGGATCTCTGTGAGTTCAAGGTCAGCCTGGTCCTACAGAGTGAGTTCCAGGACAGCTAGGGCTACACAGAGAAACCCTGTCTGGAAAAACAGTAACAACAAAAATTAAGTATATTTATTTTGATATATATACATACATATGTTTTGCTTGCATGTATGTATGTATACCATGTGTGTGCCTGGTGCCTTTGGAGGTTGGAAGAACATGTCAGATGCCCTGGAAGTTGAGTTTTAGGTGGTTGTGAGGTGTCATGTGGGTGTTGGAATCAAATCCAGGTCCTTTGCAAGAGCCTCAAGTGCTCTTAACTCCTGAACCATCCCTCCAGCCCTTTGAGATAAACGTTTGACACATAGTCCAGGTTGGCCTCACATACACAATCCTCCTGCCTCGGCCTTCTGAGTGCTGGGATTCTAAATACATGCCTCCAGGCTGGCAGCTGGACCTGTTAGGTTCCTCAAACTCTAAAGCCACTTTCTTTTTCTTTTTTATTTCTCTCTTTCTTTTTGTCTTATTTGTGTCTTTTTCTTTTATCTAGTTTTTTTTTGAGACAAAGTCTTACTCTGTAAGCCCAAGCTGTCCCGGAACCCCAGACATAAGCCAACACTCTCTTCTCTCATGGGACTTTTCTGTGGGATGATAAACTGTCTCTAGGTTAAGCCACTTTTACATAGCCTTTCTCAGCCATCCCTTTCCTGTGGCTCAACACCTCCCAAAGCAAATGTCTCCATTCAATGTCACCACTAGAATCTTCCCTGACAGGGCTGGGGTTGCGCCCAGCCCCTTCCTTCCTCCTCCACAGCCTCCTTTGTTTTCTTACTTTTTCTTCATTGTCTCACACTGGAGGTTGGTTAGTTTCTAGTTTTTGAGGTAGGACGTTACTTGGCAATCTAGACTATCCTGGAACATACTGTGTATGCCAGGCTGATCTTGAATTAAGGCGATCCTCCTGCCTTAGCCTTATGAATTCTGGGATTGTAGGTGTGAGTCACCACACCCACCTGTGCCTGACTTTTTTTTTTAACTGTAAACTCCAAAAGGGCTAGTGCTTGTCAACTTTGTTTACTTCTGAATCTTAAGGAAGGAAGGAACGAAGGAAGGAACGAAGGGAAGGAGGGAGGGAGGGAGGGAAGGAAGAAAGGAACGGACGAACTGGGTATCCAAGAAGAGGAAGAGGTGTGCAGTTATAAAGTGTCGGGTTGGCCTATGATGTGTGAGCAGTGGGACTCTCATAGACTAACAAGACTTAAGGCAGGGGTTGGGTCTTCTCACTTTGAGATTCTCTTTCCTTTGAGCTTCCCTTCCCTCTTTTCTAACGAGTAAGAGGAGGCTGAAGTCATGGACGTTGGGGCACAGAAGGAGCAAGCTCCAGTTTCCTCCATGCCCCCAATGCCCAGCCTCTACCCACTACTAACTGGCCAGGCCGTACAACGCCGCCATCTTCTGCTCCTCGTAGATGTTCATGGGGTTCACCAGGAGCTGAAAGAGACCTGAAGAAACAGGGCAAAGCCAAAAATCAACTGATAGCTCCAGCCCTGCCCCAGCCCTGCCCCAGCCCTGCCCCAGCCCTGCCCTCTGCTCCCTCACTTGCCTATGGCCAGGAGCCCACCAGTGCCTGCTCCCAGCAGGAAAGCAGTGGCAGGGAACTCCCCTGGCTGGCGCCATAGGAACCGGTTCCAGGAAACTGGAAGACCCCATTGTAGGAGTCTCTGCATGGCTGAAAAGGGGACAATTCAGTTCATAGCCTCTGTTTCTGGCTGAATGAAGTGCATTAAGGTTAGAAACACTTTATTTTATTCATGAATATGTATGCGCCTGCCTGAGTTTATGTGCACCTTGGGTATGCAGGTGGCCAGGGGGTGGTGGATCCCCTGGAGCTGCAGGTACTACAGTTACAAGAAGCTGCCTGCTGTGGGTGAGGGGGTCAGGTCTTCTGGGAGAGTTCTTAACCACTCACTGAGCCATATCTCCAGCCCCGAGATTTGAGGGTCTTTTGGTTTGGGTTTGGTTTTTAGTTTTTTTGTTTTTCTTTTTTTCTTTTTTCTTTTTTTGAGACAAGGTTTCTCTGTGTAGCCCTGGCTGTCCTAGAACTAGCTCTGGAGACCAGGCTGGCCTCAAACTCACAGAGATCCACCTGCCTCTGCCTCCTGAGTGCTGGGATTAAAGGCGTGCGCCACCACCATCCACCTAAGGTTTGAGATTTTAGGAGGATCAGATGCTGGGGAAAGACAGTGGCAGAGACTTGGAGTACACTGGAAGAGCTACTGATCCTCAAGAGGAAGGCAGGAGTGGAAAAAAGAAGAGGACTAGGCTGTAGGGAGGACCCCAAAATGGAGGAGAGAGAACAAAGAAGTCTGAGGGGTGCTGGGAAGGGCAGGAGGCTGAGAGCTGGCTGTCTCACTGGTGTGGGGTAGTTTCCTTTGTTGCCTTCCTGTTCCGTTCTGATGCTGTGTAATGTCCATCAGTCTTTTCATCCTAGAAGTCTCTTCAAAGATTCCCAGGCTGTGAAATTCTGATGAGAGGTACGAAGTGCTGTGTGTGTGTCCTTGGCTTCACTCACAGCCCATGACTGTGGTCTGTGTCCTTCAGCTGCCCAGCTCTGTGAGCCCTCAGAACTGGGTAATGGGTTCTGGCGGAACCTTAGAATTAGATGAAGAATTCCGGGTCTGTAGAATCTGGGGGCCTCTTGTAGAGACACACTGGCATTTGGTCCCAGCAGCCATGTCCAAAATTGATGATGTAAAGTGGCCCTCCCTGGAGGAGGGGCAAAGCATGGCGAGGGCTGTGGTCCGAAGCATGGGTGGCTTTACTCTGGGTTTGTCTTTGGCCACAGCCTATGGGCTTCTGGAACTTCTGGTGGAGGGACACAGTCCCTATGCCTGCCTGGTGGCCACTGTCACTTTGGCTGCCTTCCTTAGCCTGGGCATGGGGTTCTCCCGCCAGGTCCGCGTCACTGTCTTCCTGCTGCTTCCCCAAGCCTTCTCCCGTGAGCCTGGCACCCTGGGAACAAGGCAGGGCTGGGCTGGAGCGGGGTGGGGTGGGGTGGGTGTATTCTAAAAACTACTATGAAGGAGTAACTGCTGCCTTGGGGCTGGGGTCCTGGGCTGTGACTAACTGAGCTGTCTCCCTAGGTCAGGGCCGGATGCTGCTGCTGGTGGCTGCCTTTGGGCTCGTGCTTCAAGGGCCTTGTACCAATACCCTCCGCAACTTCACCAGGGCCAGTGAAGCTGTGGCCTGTGGGGCAGAGCTGGCCCTGAACCAGACTGCTGAAGTGCTAGAGCGGGCCAAGCAGCCCCTTGTCAGTAAGGTCCACCCCAGCCTACCACTGACCTCTATCCTGTAAGATCCTTCATTCTTCTGTTTAACTCCTCTCGGTTGGAACTGTGCCCTAAGCTGAGTGCCTGGGCCTGGGAAGGCCCTTTCCAGTCCAGCTAAACCCTCCTCCTCATCCCTTCCAGCCTCCTTCACCTGATTGTTTTCTCACCCCAGCACCTAGGTTCCCTAACCTCTCTGATAGCCCCTGCCTACTCCTTCCCCCTAGGAAATGGTGAGAATCAGCTCCTGGAAGAGGCCCACACCAATGTTACCCTTTGTCCCTCAGGTGCTCTGACCAAGATTAAAGCTATTGCCCAGAGGGCCAAAATGGTGGCTGACCAGGTCCGCAGGTTCTTCCGGTCCATCATGGATGGTGTGAAGCATGTAGGTAGGTGTGTTTCATGTCTGGTTTGGGAGGTCAAAATACCTCAGTCTCCTTATCCTAGTGTCTCTCCAGGCCTGCTTAGGTCTCACTCCACACAGCATATCTGACCACTGACCAGTTCCGGCGGTGGGGTTGGGGGATGGGAGGTGGGGAGGTGGTGGTTGGTGTTACCCAAGTCATTGAAAAAGTATGGGGGAGCCGGGCGTTGGTGGCGCACACCTTTAATCTCAGCACTCGGGAGGCAGAGGCAGGCGGATCTCTGTGAGTTTGAGACCAGCCTGGTCTACAAGAGCTAGTTCCAGGACAGCCTCCAAAGCTACAGAGAAACTCTGTCTTAAAAACCAAAAGAAAAAAGAAAAGAAAAGAAAGAAAGAAAGAAAGAAAGAAAGAAAGAAAGAAAGGAAGGAAGAAAAAGAAAGGAAAGGGCTGGGGGACTGAACTGAACAGCTATCCCCAGCCAGGTCCCTGCGGAATGTGTGGTATTGGCTCCTTCACATTGGTGACGTGTGCAACTCAGAGCTGGGCAACCCTTTCACAAAATGTTCTGGGGTATTTGATGACGCCAAGGACAACTGTATGAAGATCATGCCACACGTCCATCATCTGTGTTATGTGCTCATGCCCTTCAAATTGGTGCTATGTGGACTCGCCAGCTGTGAGAGAACCAGGGGTTCCCTGTGGGGAGGCATGAACATAGGGCTGGAATGTGGCCTGAGAATGCAGGGTCTGTCAGAAGGGTGTGCACAGGGATCACATAAGGGACATTGAACGTGGAGCCCCGGGGGTTCGGTGAGGCAAAGGTGGACAATAAAGAAAAATTGATGTTCAGGAAATCACAGCAGAGAAAGGCTAAAAACCAGTAGCATATATAGAGACCAAAGGGAAAAGTAGAAAGTCCAGACAGTCCCGTGAGAGGAAGGTTCTAGAGGTGGGCAGACAGGATACATCTCTGCTCCTCATCCTCACACTGAGCTCCCTGACTCTCAGTGGTCCAGATGTTCTGTGTCATCCCTTCATACATCCAGTTCTTCCTGCGAAAGACCATCAGCACCCGTGAGTGACCCCTTCAACCCCAGCCACCGGGTTCTCCTCATCTTACTGCGGCCACTGGCAACTGAAGTCTCCTGCAAGAGCAGGGGAGGACTTTGCAGGGTCACCCAGACTAATGTCTAAGCTGAGCTGATTGAGAAACTGAGGCCCAGTGAGCGGGGGAGGTGTCTCATCAAAGTCAGGCTTCAGAGCAGAATCTGGGAGGGACAGAGCCTCCTGCCTGAGCATGGGTCACGAGAGCTGGGAGGGACAGGGCCTCCCACCAGAGCGTCGTCACAGCTCTCTCCTCACTCGTGATGGAGCAGAAGCCCCAGGCCAAGTCTAATGCTGTGTGTCAGGGAGGTGTCACTGCTTCCTAGTCTAGATCTGGGCCCTGGGAGCTCTGGCTCATTGGTGAGTTGCACAATTCCTGGGCCAGGACAGCCCCCACCCCATGCAGCTCTGCCCTCCTAACTATCCTGGCTCATGTCTCCCCTGGCCCCGCTGGCCCCAGCTGTGATGAAGCTGCTTAACAAGGTGCGTCGTGAGTTTGAGTTCAACGTGACAGCCACCCATTACTTCTCTGTGGACCTCAATGCCTCTCGGAGCCTGTCCCAGGTGGCTTTGGACCTTCATGAGGCCGTCAGCACAAAGCTACACAGTGTCAGGGAGGTCCTGGCTCTGATGGGCTACACCATGCCTCTTCTGTTTGCACTCCTCTACCTCCAGTGAGGGGCTACAGGGCCTGTGGGATAGATGGGCTGCTTTGGGGCTGTCCATCTATGGAGTCTTGGGAGGGGGAGCTGGCAGGGCAACATTGCCCGGGGTGCCTGGGGGTCTGGTAAAGAGAGCCAAGGAATCTCACAGCGCTTCTCCTCAGAGCCCTGTGGTATCGATACTGTTACCTGTACCGGGACAATTTTGACAACATCTATATCACCAGCCGCTTCTTGCGCATGGAGGCAGTACGCTCCAAGGCAGGGCTGCCCACAGTGCTTCCCCTCAGTTCTTACGAGGCCAGACACTACATCCAACCAGGTGAGGGTCCTGAGGATGGAAAAGAAGGGCTCTGGGGCAGCGGGAGCCTTCCTCAGTCCCAAATCCCTGACCCTGTTTTGAAGCATAGGGACTAGAGGGAAGAGAGATAACCTCAGGCTGAGTGGCAGACAAAGGGAGCAACATGGAACAAGGGCTGAGAGGTTGGGGAGGCTTTCTATTGTGAGGGCAAGAGGGTGGATCAGTGTTAATAGGGAATGAAGACTGCCTAGGAGGTAGGAGTCAGGCAAGGGCAGAGGGGGCCCAGGGATGAACCACTGGTTCCAGGTAAAGCTGCAAGGCTTTTCCACCAAGCCCCTACCCTGAGAGTGCTCCCTGCCTTTGCCACAGTCCTCATAGCCTCTTTTTGCCCTCTGGGTGAGCAGTTAAGCTGAACTTGATAAGCATGGGCATCTTCTCAAGAGTTGGGATCTGAGGGCAGGAGAAGTGGGGAACACACTCCTGGCCACCTACTCCTTCAGGTTCCATCTTCCTATCTCGATGGGAGCAATTTTTTTATATGTTGGAGACCTTTGGCTTCGCTCGTCACCTCCTCCTCATGTTCCTGCTGGTCTTTCTGGACTATGCTGTCTTCTGGGTACTTGACCTGGCCCGGTACCACCTCCAGGGCGAGATTGTAGCCCGCAGTGAGTGTGCCCCACCCCGACCTGTGCCCACCCATCCCATGCATCACCATCCTCCCTGGGACCTTCTCCTGGGGAACTCTTTGGATAGCTTCGTGTCACCATCATTCACTAGCCTCTGCCTCCTAGCTGGGCTAAGGATACAGCATGGCAGGATAGCTAAGGCACAAGCTGTAAGCCAAACTGGCTTGGTTCAAATCCAGCCATGTCCTTTGTCAGGAGATGATTTTAAGTAAGTTTCTTGGGGGCTGGGGTCAGAGCCCCATGCAAAGTGCCCCAGGATCAGCGCCAAGCACACACACAACCCATATACACAAAGACAAATTGCTTAACTTCTCACAGTTTCAGTTTGCTCATCTGAATAATGGAGCAATGGCTGTTCTCTGGGTCACTGTAAGAAGTGAAACTAGTTTTGTTTAGCTCCTCAGTGACCCATGATTGAGACTGTGTTACAAGCCAAGGAATATAATTAACTTGAATTTATTAATTTGTGAGTCAGGACACAAAGAACAGAAGAGAAACAAACAAACAAAACAAAAAACAGAGACAGATTGCTCAGGGAGTAAAGTGCTTGTCACGAAGGTTTGACATGAGCTCAATCCTCAAAACCCTTGAAAATGTGCAAGGAGAGAACTGACTCCACCAAGTTGTCCTCTGACCTCCTCCACACACGTGCTGTGGTACATGTCCCCGCCCAACCACACATACACACGTGCACACACTAATAATAAATAAATGAAAAAGAAAAGAAAACTCAAGACAGTTAAAACACAACAATAAACCAGGGAGTGGCGGTACTCACCTGTGACCCCAGCGCTTGGGAGGCTGAGACAGTAAGATTAGGTGACTAGACCACACAGTGAGACCTTGTCGCTAAAAACCAAGGAAGAAATTATCAGCCTTTCGCCAATACTAAATGCTTCCAGGATGGTCATGGAGATTATGGCAGTGCCAGCCAGCTGGATCATGGTGTTGGGACAGAGGCCAGGCCTCAGTGTACCTTGAGAGGTACTTGAGCATCAAAGGTCCTGGATAAGTGTGTGGCTCATGCCTATGACTTGCCTGACTCTACTTTGCACCCTGCACAGAGGGTGGTGGAAACTGGGCCATCGCCATCCATAACCCTCACAGTGTCTTTGTGCCAGGCCCTGTGCTAGTGTCTATAACGGTGGAAGGGACCGGCTATTCGGGGAGTATTTTCCGAGACCTGGTGTCAGCTTTTGACATTCTGCAACAAGGCAACATCAGTATATTGTCCCGGCGCTGCCTCCTGCATCCCTCCGAACCAGACGCTACTGGTTACATTGTTATCGGTATTCATGTCCCCTAAGAGTGAGGGGAGCTTGTGGACCAGGAGTGTGGCTAGTGCCTTGGGTGGCAGGCAGTGCTGACTGTGTGCTGTGTTTCCAGGTACCATGTATGGCCTGTGCTTCTTCGTCACTCTGTTTGGCAGCTATGTCAGTAGGCTGCGGCGAGTCATTTGTGCCTCCTATTACCCATTCAGAGAACAGGTGAGGGGGGCCATATCCTGTAGCTCTTTGCTACGGCCCTGATGCTAAGCTGTGTGCCCACAGTTTTAAGGATACTGAAGCCTTTGGTGGCCTAGTCCTGCTGGAGCCTAGAGCATAGACCTGGCCCTCAGGTGGAGCCAGGAGGAACAAGGTCCTTTTAGCCAAGGCTTCCTGAGGCATATGTGGCCTCCAAGGCTTTTCCAAAACCTGTGGTAGGGTAGTGTGACACACTGAGCTGTACCGTATGACAGCTGCGGTGCAAGGACTCTCCTAGGAGGCAAGATGAGATGGTCTAGTTAGACTGACAGGCACTTAAAGTAGATTAACTTCTCCCTGCCCCCCCCCCCAGACAGGGTTTCTCTGTATAACAGGCCTGGAACTCACTCTGTAGGCCAGGCTGGCCTCAAACTCACAGAGATCCACCTGCCTCTGCCTCCCAAGTGCTGGGATTAAAGGCGTATGCCACCACTGGCTACTTCTTTTGTTACTCTGTGGCTTTGGAGGCTGTCCTGGAACTTGCTCTTGTAGACCAGGCTGGTCTCGAACTCACAGAAATCCACCTGCCTCTGCCTCCCGAGTGCTGGGATTAAAACAACGCCCAGTTTGTTTTTTAAATTTTTAATCATTCCTATATTCTTTTTGTCTGTGTAAGTATATTCCATGTATTTGTAGGCGCCCACAGAGGCCAGAGGTCTTGGATCCCCTAGAACGAGAGTTACAACCAGTTGTGAGCTGCCTGATGTGGGTGCTGGGAATTGAACTGTGGTCCTCTAGAAGAGTAATATAGATTCTTAACTGCTAAGCCATCTCTCCTGCCCCAGGAAGAAGGGCTTTTTTTTTTTTTTCTTTGAGACAGGGTTTTTTTGTGTAGCCCTGGCCTGGAACTAGCTCTGTAGACCAGACTGGCCTCGAACTCACAGAGCTCCTCCTGCCTCTGCCTCCTGAGTGCTAGGATTAAAGGTGTGCACTACTACAACCCAGCAGAAGAAAGGCTTTTAATGAAACTTCATAACTTAAAAAAAAAAAAAACAGAGGGGCTGGAGAGATGGCTGAGTAGTTGAGAGCACTGACTGCCCTACCAGAGGACCTGGGTTCAATTCCTAGCACCCGCATGATGGCTCACAGCTGTTTGTAACTCCAGTTCCAGGGGTCCCAACACCCCTACCCAGACATACATGCAGGCAAAACACCAATGTATATAAAATAAAAATTAAAAAAAAAGTCTTACTAAGGGATCAATAAAGAGATATGGAAAGCCAGAGGAGGAACGGCTTACTTTGCTTGGGGAGGTCCCGAGGCTTCCTGGAGGAACAGTCGTCTGAGCTAAGCCTTGAAGAGTTTGCAGGAGTTAGAAGGAAAAGGCAGGAGAGGAGTGGGGGTAGTGTAAGGCATGCCAAGACAGATGGACCAGGATCACCTGTTCCCATCCGTTCCACCCCTCCAGGAAAGGATCTCTTACCTCTACAACGTGCTTCTGAGTCGTCGAACCAACATTCTGGCTGCAGTTCATCGTGCGGTGACTCGACGGGCGGCTGACCAGGGCCACATGAGTGTCCTCCAAGTGCTGGCCATCAGGTGAGTCTATGGTGTCTCCCTATAGGGATGGGGTGAGAATGAACAGAGAAAGAGCCAGAGGCCAGGAATGGATCCCTGTGCTTCCCAAAAGACAAGTTTGGTTGAAGAGGGTATCCAACTCATACCTTTTATGTCCTGGAGGAAGAATTAAGGACAAGAATTTTATTATTATTATTATTGTTTTTTCAAGACAACATTTCTCTGTGTCCTGACTGTCCTGGAATTCGCTTTATAGTCAAGGCTGTCCTCAAAATCATAGAGATCCACTTGCCTCTGCCCCCCCAAGGGCTGAGATTAAAGATGTGCGCCACCATGCCTGGCTAAAGATTTTATTTAAAAAAGTTTTATTTATTTTTATTATGTGTATAGGTGATCTCTGCCTGCGCACACATCTGTGCACTGTGTGCATGCAGTGCCCACAGAGGCCAGAAGGGGGTGTCAGATCCCTTTGGACTGGCGTTCCAGATGCTGTGAACAGCTATGTGGGTCCTAGGAATTGAAGCTAGGTCCTCTCAAAGAGCAGCCTGTGGTCTTAACTGCTTGAGCCATCTTTCCAGCTTCAAGGATAAAATTTTTTTTAAAGATTGATTTATGTGAAAGAGTGTTTTACCTACATGGATGTATATATACCAAGTACATGCCTGGTGCCTGTGGAGACCAAAAGAAAATATTGGATCCCCTGGATAAATTGGAGCTATGGATGATTTGAGTCATCACGGTCGTAGGTCTTGGGAACCAAGCCCAGGTTCTCTGCAAGAGCAACAAGTGATTTTAATCACTGAGCCATTTCTCCAGCCCCACTAAAGATCCTTGAGAGTGGGGAGTGAGGAGAGACGAAGGGAGGGGAGTAGGACAATGAAGTAAGAGTTGTTACAGTCAGAAAGATGAGGCTAGGGCACTGGAAGGTCTCCCTTGAATTTGGAGGTTGGTGTGGATAGGAAAGCTTAGGCGAACTGAGCTTGACATCCGTGACCTTTCTTATAAGGTGCTCTTGCCTAAGTCCTTGGCTCAGCCAATTTTTGCTGCATCCGCGCTACTGCCTGGGCTGTGGGCAGCCTGAAGACACAGGGAGCATGGAGAACTTTGTGTCCTGCAGTACCCCAGGCTGCAAAGGTGAGTACCCCTCTCCCTGAAGGACTCGTGATGTTTGCACTTGACAATCAACCATGGTTCTTCCTTTAGGGAATTTTCCTGTGCCTCTGTATGTCCGTACCCCTCCATTACTACCCATCTTCTCACATAGCTCCTTCCCCAGAATCTCCTTGATTCTCCTGGGTGCAAGGGGGGTACTGCAGCAGTTCCCTAATGTGCATACTTCTTCCAGGGGAAGGGTGGGGAGGCAAGGCCCAAAACTAGGGACCACAGGATGTGAAGGCTTAGCTCAAGCTTCCTCTCCTTCCTGGCCTTCTCTAGGTCTCTATTGCCCTGCCTGTTTCAGTCTCCTGGATAACACCTGTACTCTGTGTGCATCCCCCCTCTCCATCCCGGGACACCTGGACCTGGAGCTGTGAGTCTTTCTGTGATGGGGAAGGCTGAAGAATGTGTGAGCAGTGGGAATAATGCCCTTATCCTAGGATATCTGTGGACCACTGAGATAGTAGGCTTCTCCAGGGACTCCAGTGATGATGAGGAGGGTCCTCAGCTATGGCTGGCTGCAGTTCACAGAAGGTCCCCTGAGCAGGAGCTGGAACTTAGACAACAGCTCCAGGAAGCACTGGACAAGAGCCTCTCAGACACATCAGACTCGTCCCACTCAGAGTTCAGGTGAGCAGGAAGCAGTGGGGATGGCATCTGGGAACTGGGAGTGTGTTGTGTCACACCTCACAGGCTCTCCAAGTGCCTGCCCCTCTGCAGGGACTGGAGGCAGAGAAACTGAGGTTTGCCTTGCCCAGTGCCTGCCCAACCCAGCATGCAGTGTGGTGATGGTGGGGGCGAGTGCTGTCACAAGACAGACTGTCTGTCACAAGCAGTCCTGTGCAGAGCTCCTGATAAAGGGGTGATACTGCTGTGATGAGAAGATAGTAAAACACACTTCACAGTCGGGCATGGTGTAGCATGCCATTAGTCCCCACACTCGGAGGCAGAGGCAGGCAGATCTGTGAATTAGGGCGAATTCCAGAACAGCCAGGGCTAGAAACCCTGTCTAGAGGGAAAAACAAAACAAAAGTTTCACTGAAAGGGGGAAGAATGAGCTGGGTGTTGGGGGTTTGTTAGGCACATACTGGGCGGGGGTGAGGAAGCTGTGGCCTGTGTGAGTTTGGAGAATGTAAAACATTCAGGAGGGTAAATAAAACCTAAGTGTGTGTGTGTGTGTGTGTGTGTGTGTGTGTGTGTGTGTGT